GATCCCTGTCCCCCAAAGCCAGTCACAGAACCCAAAAAGATCACTCACGAAACCTTCATCTTCATGGATTATTTTAGCAAATGCAGTACATGTATTTTATAGCATTTTAATACACCCAAGGGCTTTTATAATACGCTGTAGGGACTCTGGGTAGATTAAGTCCAATCCTTAGTTAGCTTGGGCAGGGAAGAAGATAGATGCTCTTCTGTCTGTGACACCAAGTGTCAGTCCCTAAGTGAAACCAAAGACCAAAATCTGTCAAGTCACAAGTCTGCTTCTGATTTACTTTTTTTTTTTTTTTTTAAAGATTTATTTATTTATTTGAAAGGCAGAGAGAAAGAGAGTTTTGCCATCCACAGATTTATTCCCCAAATGGCTGCAATGGCCCGAGTTAGGCTAGTCTGACACTGAGGACCAGGAGCTTCATCCAGGCCTCCCTTGGTTCCTTGGGCCATCTGCTACTGCTTTCCTGGGTGCAGTAGTGGGGACTTGAACTGGCACCCAACTGGGAGGCCAGCGCTATAGACAGCGCCCTTACTCTCTGTGCCACAGTGCTGGTGCTGGTCTTTTAATTGAGTGTTTATAAATGAAAGGTGACTGTCATTTTTAAAACAAACGTGTTGCATTTGGGGGCATCTTAAGCCTGATGCATTTCACTTGCCCAGAACCCAGAGGATTCACATTCTGCCCAGCCCTGGGCAGCTGCTCTTCAGCTAGAGCACAGGCTTGCCACATGAGACGTGGACTCACCAGTGGGTCAGGAGAGAAAGACAGCTGTGTAAAGAACAACTGTTTTGCTGGCAAGGGTGGCAGTGGAAACATTAGGGCTTTGGAAGTGGAAGATCCTGTAGTTGCAGTTGTAAACTGCAAAGCTGGATTCCTAGTAGCAGAGCTTTGTGTGTCCAACAGGCTTGCTGTATTGCATGGATTTACACATTGTTTTTTGGGGGGAATTTAGCACTGAACTTGGTTTTCCATCTCTCCAAAACCTCGTGAATTCCCGTATAAGTGTTTTAAAATTAAGATGCAGTTTACATGTAATGAACTATACCCATCTGATGCATACGATTCAGTGAGTTTTGATGATTGTGTACCTTCACATAAATTTCAGCCAAATAAAGATAGAGACTTCCAGCAGCTTAGAAAGTTTCCCTATATGCCTTTACAGTTAACAAGGCCCGACCCAACTCACAAAGGAGGCCCCTTATCTAGTTTTCACCCTTATAGATGAGGCCTACCTTCTCAAATCTGTTACTTTATGTCTCTTAACAAATTTGGAAAGTTTTTTTAAATTTAAATATTTTTATTTTAGCTCCATTCTCTTGCTCCAAGACTTCCACTGATATTCTAATATCATGAATATTAGATTTTCTTTACTTTATTGTAGTACAAAGATCTGAAGGGTCTTTTTTTTCAGTCTATATTCTCTCCATTATTCATGTTGAGTAATATTCATGCCACTATTCATGGTGAATAATTTCTATTATATTTCTTGTTTTATAAATTGGTTTTGTCTCCTTCATTGTTGTTGAGTTCATCCATGCAAGTGTTCATTCTGGTTGTTGTGTTCTTTTGCTCTAAACTTTTGATTTAGTTCTTAGTTACACCTTCTGTTTCTTTGCTGAGACTCTCCATTTTTTCTTCTGTTTCATAATTGTGTACTGAAATATTCCTATGCTGGATACCTTACCATGTTTTGAGGGTGGTTTTAACGTCTCTGTCATCTCAGCATTGGTATCTCTTCATGGACTCTTTAGTCAGTGATCATCCTGGTTCTTGGTGTGATGAGTACTTTGCTATTAAAACCTGGGCATTTTCATACTGTGATATAAGACTCCGATCTTATTTATATCTTCCATGCTATTTGGCCTTTTCTGATACTAATCCAGCCGGGGAGTGGCTCTGCCAGGGGAAGGAAGATCAGGTTTCCCCCTCTTGTCCTATTGACGTCTCAGGAGGCTGTTTCCTCACTGTAGCTGGGCAAAGATGAGAGTGTCAACTTCTTCTGTGATGCCCACAGACACCTCAGTGGAAGGACAGTAATGAAAGCCCTGACTGCTAAACCTCCTCTGACCGTACCCCATGGGACAGAGACGGGTGGTTCGTTACCACCGGGGTGGGTGGGAATCACCTCCGTCTGTGATCTCCACTGAAATTGTGTTGGGCAATGCTGGGGCTTGTTACTGGCCAATGAAAATGAAAGTACCAGCTCCCACACATTTCTCCCTGATGGCACTCTGCCTGGGGTGTTGAGACCCCCTTGTTGTAGCCTTAGAAGGTGGAAACCTTGGCTTTCCATGTGACCTTAGCTGCCATTGATGGGGGGTAGAGCCACAAGTTTTTTTTCTGTGGCATTTGACTGGAGTAGAGCAGTTATTGTCTAAATATCTGCTTTCTTATTATGCTTTTTCAGGGATTTTTTTTTTTTTTTTGTCTGCAGAGTAGTTGTTTGGCTTAGTGGTGGAGACGTTGCATCCCTTAGAGTGCCTGGCTTGACAGACTCTGGCTTCCTGCTAATGCGGCTCCCGGGACATGGGCGTGATGGTGCATGATCTGTTCCTCCCTCCACAAGGAAGCCCTGAATTGAGTTTCTAGCTTGAGCCTGGCTTCAACTCTGTGTCTCTACTTTGAAGGAATCAGAGTTGTGAAAAGAACTGAGTGTTCAATGGGAGATAATGGTAAGATTATTCTCATTGAACTTTTTAAGCATATGGAGTCCAAGTTTTTAAACAATAGCCTCCAAACCACATGATCACTATTCAACAACTACAATTTTGTTATTCACTAGAGTAAATGCTTATGAAATAAGTTTAGAGGATAGGACAGACTGTTAAATTTATCTTAATAAAAATTTTAATTAAAATAGAAAGTTTTTATGAGAAAAAAAAGTAACCTTTAGATGAAAAGAAAGTTTACATACACACTTTAAAGTGACTGTTATATTCTTGAGTTTTCTCCTTAGTCAAAGATCATTTCCTATCTGTTCCTATCTGCTTTTAATTCTTCAAGAGCCCTGTGTGTACTGACTGGATGATAATGGTGTCTCTATCTCTTATAGACCTTGGCATTGGGAAAAAACTGTCTGATCTTAGTTCATTGCTTGTGTTTCAAAGCTGCCTGGCCTCCAGAAGTAATGACTCTTTCCACTTCAAGTGCACAGCACATACTCCTGCGAACACTGCTGCTTGCTAGTCCCATATGACATGACCGAGCACAGTGTTCTTAAGTTCCTTTGTCCTTGCTGGGGTAATGCTGCTGGGTGGTAGGGTGATTCCCGTCAGTCTAATGTAAAAATCCCTGGAGTTTGGTTTAGTTTAGTTACACTGTATATTTGATACCATAATACATACCTTTCACATGTATTACACACATCGTAGGGACAGGATGTTTAGTTAGCAGTTGCATTGCTGGTTGAGACTCCTGGGCCCACCTTGGAGTGCCTGAGTTTGGCTTCTACCTCTGGCTTCTTGACTCCAGTTTCCCATCACACAGCTCTGAGAGGCGGCAGGATGGCTTAAGGAACTGGGTTCCTGCCAGCACACGGGAGACCAGGAAACGGACCCCAGCTCCCACCCAGCCCCTGGCCTGGTCAGTGAAATGGGGGGCCCTAGCTTGAGCTCTGTATCTTTCGTTTGTCTCTAAAATGATTAGAATTTTAATCATATCACATGGGTATTTGTGTTCAATAAAACAACTGCCCAGTAACAAATGACATTTTATTATTTCAATGATCTTACAATGTCAGCATCAATGCTACTAAAATATATATAATAGGCTTAATTTATCAATGATGAAGTCAGTTATGATTCACTTAAGGGTCCCCACTTTGCACATTATGAATTTTTTACATTAAAAAATGAGAATCCTCTATTTTGCAGAACTTAGATTTGTGCTTGGTTAATGCTGGAGTAAGGCACGAGCTTCCCTAGAGCAAGGGCAGGAGAAGCAGGTGGGGCAGGCAGCCACCATCATACACCATACACCGTACACCATACACCATATACCATCCACCATCCACCGTACACCATACACCATACACCGTACACTGTACACCATACACCATACACCGTCCACCATACACCATACACCATCCACCATCCACCGTACACCGTACACCATACACCATACACTGTACACCATCCACCGTCCACCATACACCATACACCATCCACCGTCCACCATACACCATACATCATCCACCATCCACCGTACACCATACACCATACACCGTACACTGTACACCATACACATACACCATACACCATACACATACACCATCCACCGTCCACTGTCCACGGTACACCATACACCGTACACCATCCACTGTACACCGTACACCGTACACCGTACACCATACACCATACATACACCATACACCATACACTGCGTATGTTGAGGAGTAGAAGCTCCTGCAGGCCTTACAGTTCCCATTCTTGAGGGTTCAGCAAGTCAAAATAAAAGCATAAGTCAAATCTAGAGACATGTAAAAAGCTTCAGTTTCTAGTTGAAGCTGATGTTTTTCCTTTGCATGGTGTTTGCAATTTAAAAGAATGAAAATTCTGTCTGCTAAAGTTTTTACATGCAGGCATTGTAAGTTATTTTCACACGGTTTTAAGAGACACTGTTCTATTTCTCTGTTCTTAGGGGCCACAATGTTTAGTTAGGTTCAGCGAATCAGAACAGGGCTGGTGATGGGACCCTTTCGAAGCAAAACATACAGCTCAGATTTGTTTCTCAAGGAATAGTTCAACAAAATTGGGACTTCCTTTATAGTTACATGCCATAGTCAAAATTTGAATTATATTCTGGGAATAAATGTTTGTTTTCAGTAATCAGTCCGTGTGTGGTGAGAATGGTGGGAAGGGAGATTATTTTTTATCTTAAGTAAACTGTGACACCTTGAGAGAGAAATCTGAGTAGGTAATGGACTGGTTAAGACAGTCAATCTTTTCACCAGGAATTGTATACTTTGTACATTCAAGATAAATGGAAGTAGGTCATTGCATAATAGCCTAAACCAGATGTTGTACTTGAAGGAAACATAAACAGGATTCTAAATTTACAAATACACTGGTAATCCTTTCTTGTCCGGGAGGTTGAGCCAAAGCTTACATAGATTACAGGAAAGCCTGGGTATGGAAAAATTTTAAGATATTGCATAAATGCAGAGAAAGTAATACAATATTGCTGGTGTTTATTTTAATACTGATTTACAGGGCCTTGTGTAGCCTCACCTTGTGGCTCACATGCAAGTGACCTGGGTCACTCCATCCTCTTGGTCAAACTGTCCCTCATCCAATTCCCGGAGGACACTGTCGCTGCTGCTGAAGCCGGAGAAATGGCTGCTTTGGGCTGGCTGCCCCTCCTTGGTCCAACATTCTCTGGACCGGGAGAGGAGGCATTCCCCTGGCAGAGGTCTGCTTTCCGGGGTCGTTGACAAGGCCGTGTCTGAGCCCACACTCCTGCTGGGAACTTTGCTTCTGTCTTCGTTTTTCAAATGCCGGCTGCCTTTCCTCTGAAATACAAGAGATTGATGCCCAGGAGTTAGAAGGCGGGGGTGTTTGTCCCTCTGTGCGGGCACCTGTTCTTCTCCCTGAAATGCCCCATGCTGCCTCTTCCAAATCCTTCTCTTCTTCAGAGCCCAGCTCAGCACCACCTCTCCCCTGACGTCAGAGGAGCGGCCTCTCTCTGCTTCAGAGCCCAGCTCAGCACCACCTCTCCCCTGACGTCAGAGGAGTGCCCTCTCTCTGCTTCCCAAGGTTTCTCTGGGCAGGTGGGCTGGATCCACGGGTGGGGTCCTCAGGGACTTCTCCCCCAGAGAAACATGCTGACATCATATTTAGGTGGGAAGGACAAGGTGGAGATATTAATACATTTTTTCCTCTTGGTGCTGGCTGAGATGTAAATATCAGAAAGTGTGATTCAACAGCCACCTTGTAGCCTTATCACCTGTGCATAGCGGCACACAGGAATCGTGGACAACTTTGAGCTTCTTTTGAACGAACGCCAGTTTATCAAGAGTTCACTGCAAAATCTCTTAGCTGGGCACAAAGGCCGCATTTTCCTAACTGTAAGAGCCAAAGTTATTAAAACTTTTAGAAAAAAGAAGTCAGATGCTCAGATTGGTCTTGGAAATGTTTGCCAACCTGAGGTTTGCAAATTTTCGTCTGGGTGGACCACTGTGGAATGTCACCTCGTTTGTGATTTCTTCTGCTTAGGAAGACATAGCTTCCCATGTGTGGCATGGAAAGGAGTGTTTGGCAACTTTGGAACAGCTCACTGTTCTTGGTCAAATTCCCGGGGGCTGTAGGCAAGCTGAAGAGAAACAATGTCCCGTGGGCCCTTCCTGAGCCAACTCCCACCCTTGGGCTCCTAAGTTAGAAATAGTTTGCATGGTGGTCATGATTTCCATGGGTACCCTTGTACCAACGAAGCAGAAATATCAATCTTGCATCCTTTCCCTTCCATTTTAATCCACCAAATTGACTGAACTTGGTGTCAGCAAGGGAGTCTGACACATTTGCTCTCAGTCAGGTAAGCATTGGTAGGACAGTGGCACCTTCTGCCTGGCCCTGGGTGCTGCTAAGTGGTTTTGTCTCTAGCCTGAGTCTAGCCTGGCTGGCGGTGCCCTTTCCCACATGCATGAAACACATTAACTCTTGAGTGATGGCGCTCAACTGGGCGCATCGAAGGAATCAGAGTGGGAAAGTGAGGGTGCTGTGCACAGGCACCATTGCTAAAACCAAAGGAAAATTTTGCAGTTAGTTCCTTTTTGTATACTCTCTTGGAGGCCAACTCTCCTATCCACATGGAGGATTTTTTTAAAAGTAAAAAAATGGAGGCTACAAATGGAGACTCTAGAAGGGACTGTGTCAATCAATGGACTCTTCAATGACCACATCATGCTTGGAGTGGCGAGACTGGCAGCGACCCATGAATGGTGAACTATTGGAACCACTTGATCGAGTATCTCAGAGCATGCCCCACATCCGGGACTTAGGGTGGGCGGGAAACTGGGTGGGGCTTCTTCCTCTATATCCCCCTTTAGGCCTTGAACCTTTTTTACCCCAATTAAATTTGTAAAGATTGTCAAAATTTAAAAATAAATAAATAAATAAAATAAAATAAAATAAAATATAAATTAAAAAAATGGAGGCTATTCATAATAATAGCAATTCACTTTTAGATAACCGTTAATAAGTAAACAGCCACCAGATGCAAATTTCAAACATTAGAAAGGAGACTTTAGTTGGAGAAGGTAAATTGTAAAGCAGAAGATCTAAAATTGTATGCATAAAACTCATATAGTGGAAGTGACTTTTGGGTGTACAGTTCTACGTGCTCTTCCACACGTATAGATGTGTGTAACCACAAAGGGCATTTCTACTACCCCCAAATCCACACCCACACAGACATCATCTCTCTCCTCCACTTCTGATCCCTGGCAGCCATTAATCTGTTCTCTACATCACAGGTTCATCTTTTTGAGAATGTCATATGGGTGGGACAGTACAGGCTGTGAATGTTGAGACTGGCTTTTATTCAGCCTAATGCCTTTTAGATAATCCAGGGTGCTGTACAGATCAAGGGTGTGTGTGTGTGTATGTGTGTGTGTGTGTGGGCACCACAGTTGTTCACGGATTCATCTGCTGGAGAGATCTAGGTTGTTCCTGGTTCTTGGCAATGATGAATGGGAATTCTATAGACTTTTGTGTATAGGTTTTTGAGTGAACGCCAGTTTTTGGTGCCTCTAGGGTAAACAAGAGCGGGGTTACTGAGTCAGAGAGTGAGCATGTGTGTACCTTTATAAGATGCTCTGTTTTTGAGGCTGTGTTCTCTGTGTGTCCATCTGTATGTTTGTGAGTTTTGGCTTCTCCTTACTCTTACCAGTTCTTGGTATCTTTAGTTCTAGCCATTCTAATAGGTGAATGGTATTATCCAAGTACTGCTTTCATTTATACTCTTCTCTAGTGACTAGTTATTTAAACATCATTTTGCGCTACTTCAGTTCTCAAGTGCATAGCCTCATTGGCGAGGTGTCCAAACCGTTCAGCTACCGTGTAACTGGGCCAAATGTTTACTCATAATTGAACCCTGAGGGTTCTTAATACATTCTGAATACAAGTTCTTTATCATATATTTGATCTATGAGTTTTTTTTTTTCTCAGTCTGTGGCATGTTCTTTCATTCTCTTAACAATGTCATTCACAGAGCAAAACTTAAACTTTAACTTCCCAATTTTGTAGATAGATTTCTGCTGTTGGTGTTAGGTCTGAGAACTTGTAACCTAACCTCACTAAATGATTTTTTCCTGTGGTTTTTCCTTAAAATGTTTTAGTTTTAATAGTTTAAAATAAACAGAGGCAATAAATAGAAATATTAATTTTGAGTTACCATTTTTCACATTTAAAAATTTCTTAAGTTATTTAGAGTACTGTGTAAAATACATTTGTAAAATATATATCGGGTCCTAGAAAGTCTTATTAATTACAAAGTAAAAAATTCCAACAATACACATTTCTCATTGTGTAATTCTCAATTTCTTTTCCCACAACAGAGGCATGAGATAGACTTAGCAAAAAAAGTATGGTTCTATCTAGAGTGCAGTTGGATAGGACAAATATAAATGGACATTGGTCTTAAGAGACTAATGAAGAATAAAGAAAGAAGACATTCCCCCCCCTCAAGGGTCATGTTCTAGGGCAATTTCTACCAGCCTGTGAAATGTGTTATCTTAATAAAAAGTAATTGATAATCCGAGGGCAACAGTTGTAATGTCTCAAATTTCTACCAACTGTTTTTGGAACAGCTTTGAAAAAAACTTTCTAAGTGAAGCAAGCTTTTCATTAATCCCTCCCAAGCAACAGCTGATTTCAAAGTACAAAGCATAGCACCATGATGGACCTAGGACTACAGAAACCATTTCCAAGGCATATCATAAATCTAAGCTTCACAAAAATATGTATAAACAGACAAATTAACTTGTTGTTGCTTTCCCAAAAGTATTACTACGTTTTGAAACAGAAGAACAAACTATCTCCTCTAGAGAATCTGTTTTTGTTTTAGCTGTTATAGCTCTCGGTATACACACTCTATCCGGAAATGATCTCCCAATCTGGATGGTTTTGTCAGAAAACATTTGTCTAATGAAGAAACAGTAAAACCATTTAGAAACAGAATTCTAAGCAATAAAATATATTATTTCTGGCATTATCATTGATACAAACCAACTGTATAAGTATATATCATATATACATTCATATCTCACATTACCATAAATAATTTATAATAAATATTTGTACAACATACATATATTGTATAAATCTCCATTATATAAGTGAACCAGGAATTTTATATTGCAATGAGTGTCTATATAAAGATTACTCAAAGAAATGTTAGTCTGTGGACAGTGCTTACACTCGGGAAGGCCTATGGTATTTTGGGGAATTGGAAACACGAAGAGGAGACTAGGAAGCAGGTGAACTTGTTCCCATCTTAGCAAACACAACTCTAGGCCCTGTGTTAATCACAACCCCATCAGGCTGAATTTCTGGTGATCTTTCCTTCAAAAGTGATGGTCATTTTTAGAAGGTTAAAAAATTGTTTATGACTGGCCCGACGGCGTGGCCTAGCAGCTAAAGTCCTCGCCTTGAATGCCCCGGGATCCCATATGGGCACTGGTTCTAATCCCGGCAGCTCCACTTCCCATCCAGCTCCCTGCTTGTGGCCTGGGAAGACAGTCGAGGACGGCCCAAAGCCTTGGGACCCTAGACCCATGTGGGATACCCGGAAGAGGCTCCTGGATCCCAGCTCCGGATCGGCGCAGTACTGGCAGTTGTGCTCACTTGGGGAGTGAATCATTGGATGGAAGATCTTCCTCTCTGTCTCTCCTCCTCTCTGTAGATCTGACTTTGTAATAAAAGTAAATAAAAAAAAATTGTTTATGACTTAGTAGTAAGTCTGTTTTGGTGCAGAAGAAAAATTTGATTTTTGCTGAATGTTCTCTACTTACATCTGCCTTTGCTTTTTCATAGCGTCTCTTCTAATGTAGTCATGACCTTGAGCTATCTTTTTGGGGGTGGAAGGGTACAGTTTTCACTTGAGGGCTAAACGCAGTCTTTCTCTTCTCTCTGTCCTGTGACCTCCTCATCTCTTATTCACACTTCCATCTCTTTACTTGTTTATATTGAGCCAGTAGCTTTATGCTAAAATTAAGTTGAGACTTAGTATGGCTGTATTACATACAGTCAGTTTAACTTTATTGGTTTAGAAAACCTTGAACTGTAATACATACATATATATATATATATATATATATACACACACACACATAAAAAAATGAACAACTTTAATTTTCTGGTCCACTTGAGAATTTTTTGCTTTGAAAGTTAAGTTTTTTCGATGATAATGGTTCTGGTCACACATCCAGTAAAATTTAGGTAACTGAGATTAGGGATGGCGCTGAAAAAACATGAACTTGAGGATATAATGTAAAAAATAGAGTGTAGTCGGAGGTCACGATGGCTGAGATTACCTAGATGCGCTGTAAGATAGCGACATTCGCTCACAACTTAGCGAGCACTGCAGGGGAAGAGCAAGCTTCTCCAGCACTGACTGCTCTCAGCTAACGAATGACAGGTTACTTAGAGCGAGTGTGGATTTAGTATGAACACAGCAGCTTCACAGAAAAACTGTGAGACCTCCAGGAGGCAGTTCGATGGAGGAGACCGAGAGCTCACGCACTACTCGACCGAAGGATGATAATTGCGATGAGTGACTAGACCAAGGAAGTCTTCTGGGAATTATGGAATGGCAGATATTCTGGGGACACTGGTAGGAGATCAGGCCTATTCTGGCAAACTCCAGTCGGTGAGAGCTGGCTCCAGGGAGAAAGCATTTTCTCTTCCTGGCATGGGAGAGGGGACACCTTGACAAACAGAAGTTTCTAAAGTGAAATTTAGATCCTGCGTTTTGGCAGAAGGAGGAAGGACCAAGAATGCCTTTCATACCTGCTCTTGGTTGTCTCTGGCTCAGAATAAGCCTTAAATCAAACTGGCATGTTTTGGAGTGGAATAGTCTTAGCCTCTGTCAAAACTGATTCCTGCTGCCTGAAGGCTGGCAAGTTTCCTCTCTTTCATGCAGGGGTCTGTCTCCATCTTAAGACTCACTTCCTTATCTGCAGTCACCATCTGGAGTGACGCGAGAGCGCAGGGACTGAGTGTCCTGTCGGCTCCCAAAGCAACAGTCTTACTCACTTCTGGTGTCTGAGCAGCTGAGTTCCACGTAGCTGGCCTCTGGAGGAATACGACCTGCTTTGTAGCCAAATTCCCTTCACTGCAAAATAAAACAATAACATTAGTATTTGTGATTTAGTAATTGCCTACATTTTATATGTTTTTCTGCATGTATCCTCTGTAATATGATCTTCTAACCCAAATTATGAAATACGATTATGTATAAATTACAATTGGAAAAACAAGCTTTTTAAAAAAGCCACTAGAAACTGAATATGGAACCTGGCACGGTAGACTAGTGGCTAAAATCCTTGCCTTGCACACACCGAGATCCCATATGGGCACCAGTTCATGTCCTGGCTGCTCCACTTCCCTTCCAGCTCCCTGCTTGTGGCCTGGGAAAGCAGTCAAGGATGGCCCAAAGCCTTGGGACCCTGGACCCGTGTGGGATACCCGGAAGAAGCCCTTGGCTCCTGGCTTTGAATTGGCTCAGCTCTGGCTGCCATGGCCACTTGGAATAAAACAGCAGATGGAAGAGCTTCCTCTCTGTCTCTCCTTCTCAGTATATTTGCTTTTCCTATAAAAATAAGTAAATCTCAAAAAAAAAAAAAAAAAAAAAAGGAACATGGTCATTACAAAACAGTTTTAATGTTTAGGACTCTTACAATCTTGCCATGCTGACACAATGTTTTCTGGGTCTGTCTCCTGCTTTGTGTATTTTTGCATCTCTATAACCGCTGTGTATGGACATCTCTATAATCACTGCATATCTGCATATATACATTGAGCTTCTGCGCCTTTTGCTGAAACAAGCCTTCCTTTATGTTCTGATGATGCATAAATGACTACATATTTTCTCAAAGAATTAAGATCCCAAAATCTACTAAACCTTTCCTTTTATTAGAAAGTTGTCTCTGGTTTCTTGCTAATTGTAAATAACAGTTATAAAAACACATATACTTTTCCTCACAAATTATTTCCTGGAGATAATTCTCAAAAATGAGATTGTTGAGGGGGCCTGGTGTGGTAGTCTAGTGGCTAAAGTCCTCGCCTTGCATGCACCTGGATCCCATATTGGCACCGGCTCATGTCCTGGCAGCCCTGCTTCCCATCCAGCTCCTTGCTTGTTGCCTGGGAAAAGAGTCGAGGGTGGACCAAAGCCTTGGGACCCTGCACCTGCATGGGAGACCGGGAAGAAGCTTTGGACTCCTGGCTTCGGATCGGATAGGCTCAGTTCTGGCCATTGCGGCCACTTCCATCATCTGACGGAAGATTTTCCTCTCTGTCTCTTCTCTCTGTATATTTGACTTTCCAATAGAAACAATAAATAATTTTTTTTAAAAAAAGGATGAGATTGTTAAGTTAAAAGAGTAGGATTCTGGTGGGCACTGAGCTGCCGTTCAGGACTCTAGCATTCCTCAGTGGGGTGCCTGGTTCGAGTGTGCGCTGTTCTGGCTTCCACCCAGCTTCCTGCTGCTGCCCATTCTGGAAGGCACGAAATGATGATGCAAACACTTGAGTTCCTGCCACCCGCATGGGAGCTCTGCATGGAGTTCCAGGCTCCTCCTGTTGTTGTAGGCATCTAAAGATGGATCAGCAACAAAATTCTCTCTCTTTGCCTTCCAAATAAAAAGTGATTAATGAGCCAGCATTTAAAGACACGTATGGTTTAAGCGTCTTGGTATTCCCTGTTAGATCTGCCTGACAAGGAGATCGGTTTGGGTTGCCTTGTGAGTAACTGCCCGGAGGGACGTCAGCTGCAGCTGCTGTCATGTTCAGATGCCTCTTTCCAGTCCACGCTTGGTATTCTTCAGCTATTATCATGGCGAATTAGCCCTTGCCAAGGATGACTCGGATTCCTGGGAAATGCTTTTCAGAGTCTCCCTGGATTTATGGGAAGGAGTGTCTGCAGCTCAGTTACAACTTTTATTATGCAAAATCCTCCAACAAAACCTTACTATCAATTCTATCTTATGTTTAGCTCTTTCCCAGGAGACAAAGGCAGTGCAGAAAGCTGAAGCCACTAATCCTGAAGCCACTAATATCCTGGACTGTGAGAAACAGCCAGGCTTTCCCAAAGTGGCAGTAAGAAGATGCTTCTTTTCGATACATAGTTTATATTTTTAGTTTTAAAGGACTACTTCAGTCTAATCTCATTTTCATTTAATCTTGTTTTGAATTGGAACAAGAGACTTGGCACGCATATATGGTAACTTTTGGGACCAACCAATATCATCACGAGCTATCAGTAAATACAGGAAGGGGTTAGCACATGTGCACAATAGGCGGTAAGTGTTTTGGAGGTTCTGAGTAGACTGAATGACTTCTGAATCACTTAGCTCTTGGATTCCAATCTCAACTTTGTTATTGCATCTAATAGTAACGACTTTAGTCAAAGTCCTTAAGTTCTCTGACTCCGTTTCCCATCAGGGTCCTTTTGAAGGATGAATGTGTCCTTGTCCATGAGGAGTTTACCACAGTTCCCGACACTGACACTGGAACGCATACAGCACCTGTGACTTTGTTCCACTTTCTCCACTCATTTAGTGAAATGTAGGGTGGAACTTAGCAGAACGGAAATGTCTCAGAATGGGGAATAGCTTTTAGGCAACAAAGTCAAGAGGTAGTACACATGAAAACAAGATATGTATGTGATCCAGATAGAGAATCACTTGAGATACCTTAAACCTAGAAATGTGCAAAGACGAGCAGGAGGGCTTGGGATAGAATCATTCCTCTTGAAAAAAAGAAAGAAGAGGCATGTCACTGGAGGGATGGTGGGTGACCCGGCAGGTTGTTCCTTCCGACTGATTATAGGATGGGGCAAGTCTGAATGCACTAGCACGTGATATTAGGTCAAGGGCGGGCTTTTCAGTTTTTTCTGCCCATCCCAAACACTGATAATTGATTCTGTGGTCATTTCAGACCCATGTGCTTGGGCTGATAATCTGTGGTCATTCCAGACCCATGTCCTTGGGCTGATAATCTGTGGTCATTCCAGACCCATGTCCTTGGGCTTCCCCAGTGACCTTGATGCGCAGTACTCTTGGAAACCATCCGTACAAGACACAGACTTCCTCCCAGTGCGGCATTCCTGGATCCTGGGGACCACCTGGTGGTATGTCCTACTGTCAGTGCTGACGCTCCTTTAAGACACAGTTCATCACAGCTCATCAACGGCTCCACTTGACATGAAATGGTGAAACGAAAAATGCTCGTTTTCCAGGAGCATCCTTGATGTCTAACTTATTTGAAGATATATTTCTAGGGTGACATGTGTGCTTTAAGCTTTTTATGCATAATTTGAGTTTGAAACATTACCAGGAGCCACTTTGAAAGACACAATTTTTTTTTCACCAGGTTGTTTCTTAATTTAATCTGGTCCTATTTGTCTAAAATAAAAAGGAATTTGCAGTGTGGATGAGGAGTTAATCTCTCTGTGCTGTGGAAGAGCCTGGCAGCAACCGCAAATTATGAAAGAGTCTATCTCAACAGATTCCAAGGCAATGAGGGAAGGAGGAGTAGGATGGCCTATCAGTGGCTGGAGGGAGGGATAAATGGCTTAGGTGTGGGTTACAGTTTGAGTAATGGCTGGGTTAACACCAAAGGCCATGTGTTAAGGACATGGTCACCAGAGTGTTATGTTGATGGCTTACAGACTGAACCCCAGGCCCCTTCCTTTCCTAAGGCAGCACACAATCCCTGTTGCTAGCGTGAGGGTGGGGGAGCCCTGAGTCGGTTCTAACTGCCAATGAGACGCTGCACCTGATGGATGTGAGACCTAGGAGACACTCAGAAAATGCCTCTTCTCTCTAGTGCTCTCTTCTAGGCTTGTCATAAGAAAGCAAAAAGAAGACTACAGTTCAGTGTCACTTAAGGGAGAGGTTTGCTATGGCTGTAACAACTATTGTGAAAAAGACGGGGACTTTCCAGGAACAATGCATCTCTTGGCTTAGTAACAATAACCTCCAGCCTTTGGGACTAGGGAGGCGAGCTTTCTCTGGTCCTCGCCTAGCTCTGGCTCTGGGTCCCCACCCTCTCTCACGAAGACCATTAGGATCACTCCAGAAACCCCTCAAAACAAACATACAAACAAACAAAAAAAACCTAGAATGGACAGACAACAACAAGGAAAGCTTAGAAAAAGTCACAGGATGTAGTTAAGAACCCGCATTTTTCTATTAACATATTGTTAATCAATACCATGCCAATTAATGTCATAATGTTGTAAATTGTTGTTGATGTTATGTCGGGGCTTTTAATTGATTGGGATGATAATTTGCCGGCTTTAACTTCAGACCAGAGATGGTCTCAACAAGAAATCGTTGAACTCATTAGGATAATAAGATGCTGGACTTTATGCTTGGTAAATACTTCCAATGAAAGAACCTCAACTGAATTTGAACTGTGGTAATGCAACAAGGTGGAGAAATCCACCATGGGGAGAGGATTCGGGGAGAGATGGGGGGAATCCCAGTGCCCATAACACTGTGTCACATAATGCAATGCAATTAATAAAAAATAAATAAATAAAAATAAAAACATATGAGTTCTGCCAAAAAAAAAACCACAATAACCTCCAGGTCCAGTACTGCTTTCAGGGTACTAAGTACCCTTTTGTGTGTATTGGCATATCTTTTTAAAAAATATTTATATTTTATGTGAAAGGCAGATTTACAGAGAGAAAGAGATATATAGAGAGAGATAAAGAGACCTTCCATTTGCTGGTTCATTCCCCAGATGGCCACAACTTTCAGAGCTGAGCAGATTTGAAGCCAGGAGCTCCTTCCGGGTCTCCTGCACGGGTACAGGGGCTCAAGGACCTGAGCCATCCTCTGCTACCTTACCAGGCCATATGCAGGGAGCTGGATGGGAAGTGGAGAAGCTGGGACATAAACTGGCGCCCATATGGGATCCTGGTGCTAGCAAATAGAGGATTAGCTCTGGCCCCTGCAGACTTGTTTCTTATGATCATCCCTTAGGATGAGTAGATACTACTGTCCCCATTTTATGGATAAGGAAATTGAGATCCTGATCTTTTTTGTCATCTGTTTTTTTTTTTTAAGATTTATTTTATCTTTATTGGAAAGGCAGATATAC